CTCGCGACAGTGAAACAAAACGAGGTGGACTTTTTCATCTCGAATAGATAGTATTTCCATCTGATCGAATCGACGTGTTTTTGAGTCGGAGATAACCAGTGAACTCTTATCGTACTGTTGGACTGAAAAACTATTTTGGGATACACCATCGTTTCGATAAAATCCACGTGTATTCCTGACGAAATCTCGAGAAGAATCGGTATACGAGCGTAGAAAGTGCGATCGGTACCGGTGAAAGTGAGAATCGATTTTCGGGAAGTATAACATCGATGTTGACGGTTTTCGATCAACTTCGATCCGAATAATCTCGTGCGAACTGTGAGAATAGACGTGGAAAGATGCAGACGGACGCGGAACTCGCGACCGGAAACGTGGACGATTCCGGGAGATATTTCAATTGCTTGAGGACCCTGGCGGATCTCACTGCCATGGCTAGCATCGTTGCTGTTGAGGTATACTTCTTCCCATTTTTGGATCTTATTAAAAAATGATTCGAAGGAATTATAAATTCATTAGATTCTCATGTCGTAAAAGTAATAATTCTAAGCAAAGTAGTAGTTTATTTATTCTATCAACTATAAAGTACTGTAATTTAACACAGTAGAAGGCACACAAAGCTTTGCCAGAAAAATTCAGATTTATTAGTATTTGGAAAACTTTCAAGATGCTTTATCTGAAACTCAAAATTTTTCTTGGAATTAAGAATTGCAAAATCAAAATTATGCAAAGATAAACACATAGAAATTCGGGGAATGGGAAGCTATTAATCACAGAATTCCATTGTTAGGAATACTGAGTTCTTAGAAATCATGAAAATATTTCATTCGTTCAATTTTGTTTAAGTTCGACAAATTTTAAGTTCGAATATCTTTTTATAAAAATTTCTGAGGGATATATTACCAAATTCTTCTCTGATATAATATTTACACAAGGATTTTATGGATTACTTTCTATGATAACGAAAAGAAATTTTAATCCATGAATTTGATTAAAACCGACGGGTAAGGGTGAGGATCATGATCTTCCCGCCATATGTCGCCTTTAAATGAGATTTCAAAAGTAATCGATAATCGTTGCGAGTTTCAAGACCCTTCATTGCCGCGAAACGAGGGCAAATCGAGACGAGAAATCGATTCATCGACCTTATCGTTGGTTTCGCTTCTTCCCGCAGCAACAAATCGCAGCCTAATTAAACTTTCGTTAATTGAAAACATCTATCTTTATGGTATCCTGTTGCAATTCGATTGGAAATGTTCAATTTTCCCTTGGAAACTTTATCGATTTTATTGCAAAATATTATTATATAAAAAAGAAATCTAAAATTACATTTTTAAGTTTTTACAAATTTTGGAGTAATGGTTGATTAATCATTTTATCAGTTAAGTAAACGAGTGTCGTGAAATGATATTCATCTTGCATTAAATGATGAATTCTAGAGTCGGGGTGGTTTAATTATAGAGATGCCTGATTGTTATTCAAATTGCGGTTCAAAATGACGTCAGTTAATGATAAAGCATTAGCGATGAAATCATGTTGAATGAAATTTCCTCCATTGAACGCAGAATAATCGTGGGAAAAATGAGTAACCATTGTACCACGAAGAAGAAAATTGGAAAATTGCTTCATCAATTTCCTTATCATAGTATTCATAGAAATGATTTCTTTCATCTTCTTTTCCTGGGAACTAGAACTTCTATAAAAAAATATTTCAAAAAACATTTCTCGAAAGGCAATTTTTAAAAATGAAACGTGAAGTATGTAAAAAAAGATAAATTCAACCTAACCTCTATGTTGAACGCACCACGTGGGCCTCCCCCACCACGTAGGCCTCCCCCACCACGTGGGCTTCCTCCACCACGTGGACCCACGTTTGGGAGGCGTGGTTAAGGAGGCAAGTTCATCTTGGTTCAATATAAAATATTCTAAAAATACTATATTGCACTGATTATTCGTATCAATATGAATAAACATGATTGAACTATCGTCATTCATCGTATAAGATTGTACTAAGAGGTTAGAACCAGATTGATCCTTTGTTCAAAACAACACGATGCTGAAAAACAGAGACGACCAGTAGGACAATCTTTGGACATTATATGATATATTGTTACCCAAACAATGACGTTAATCACATGTCATAATATGACGGAGGTTAAAATTAGGATGGGTCATCAGGGCAATTGATACATGTTGCCCAAACAAACAAACAAACAAGGGTGATTAAGATCAATTCACTATGTCTTCTTACATGATATTGAAACAGCTCCAATTGTGTTGAAACGTCAAAGAGTGCATTGAAAACCGGTTTCAGAACCGATTCGTCTGCATCATATTTTTTCAATCAGATAAAAAAATTTTTTTATCTGCTTTGTTTACAACAATGCAGTGAAACGGATTAAACTATCTTAGCGTACGACTCTGAATATTCTTTATTAGCGAAACTCGACAATCTTTTACGAAAACCGGACTTACAGAGTATCTGAAACCTCTGGAGATTAGATTATCTATAAGGAATCGACACCGCGAACAGGTCGTCGATTCGATTCGATCCGAAAGACTTTAGAAGATAACCTTTCAGCGTATTTCAGTAATTTTGTATTGATATTACAAATTGCTAATATTTTTTTATGAATAAATTATTGTTGGAATATTGTTCTATATGTATCACTTGAGAGATAAATAATAAAAGTCGGGGCTTTCTGAAGTGGGGTGATAAGCGTTATCTATCACCTTATGAGATTCAGGATGTTGTCGATGAAAGAACCCACTGTGCGATCACGTAATCGATGAGTTCAATTAATGACGCCTCCTTGCGTGCCCTGAAATGAACTGAGACGTTATCGAGTGAGATAATTGATGGGCAGCCTTGTTTTTTTGTTATTCTATTATTGTAACGTAGATGATAATATTGTAAATAATATCAAACGAGTTTTTTTTTATTCATTGACAAAGTAAAATTATATAAAATAAAAGGGAAATATTGAAGCTAAAAGTTGAACAATTTAGATCCAAAGTAATTGGAAATAATTATAAATTTCAAAGCTGCCAGTTGGAAAATTCAAAAATTTTAATGTAAAAAAGAATATCCAGAGATGTAGCTTTTCATTGTATCCCAGGAACAATATTTTCATACGAATTAAATTATTATAGACTTTGAAATATATCTCTCCGTCTTTTTTCAAAGAGATATCGTGTTAATTAAGAAGGCTGAAAAACAAGCTTATTGATCACGATTTACATATAAACTACGTCTAAATTGATTTAAGATTCAGAATTAAACAAACAACAAATCCCTGACCATATACAATATTAGAAAGTGAAATTAAATCAAATTAAATTTAAAAAAAGCATGAATTATCGCAAAACGAAATGTTGTCCGATAAATCTTCGGTGACGATTCGATAAAAATAGACAATCGATCGATTGGATCATTGAATTGTTTCGATCAAACAATCAGCAAATTATAATTTTTCCTCAAAAATAGTATTATCGGTGATTTAATCCGTAGTAATTATCTGAAGATATTATGCAATGATTTCAAAATGAAATAAAGAAGGAATGTTAAAATTGTAAATTCTTTTGTATAATCGTATTATTATACAGTAAATGATTTTACCTGCGTTAATCTTCGTCAGGTGCAGTTTGTTCAATTTAATTTGTTTAAGAATTTTATGTTGACGTTGATTAATGACATATAATTTGTTTGATTCGTTGTTAAATTAATTATGTTTATGGGTATGCTATCTGATAGGATACATTTTGTCAAGCGTAAGAATGTATAGGTGTTTGATCATTTATCACAAGTAATATCTGTTTGATGACCCAATTAGTCTCCGGTAATTACTTTATTTTATTGTTCGGTTGCTTGGTTGGGATAATTCAGAGGGAAAAGAGAGGCTTGATAAATGAGAGATTGAGAACTGAGGGAATCAGGTTAATAAATTTAATTGTACAAAAATCGGGAAATGGGAAATTATAATATTGAAAATGGGAAATAAAACTGGGAAATTGCTAATGAGAAATAAAAGTGGGAAAATGGGAAATGAAATATTGGAAAATGGAAGATAAAATATTGGAAAGGTGGGAAATTCAACGATCCAAAATTTTCCAAAGTGAAAAGCTTTAGATAGAAGTGTTTAGATTCCCAATTTTCTAAAAGAAAACCTCTCAATTTCCAGAACGCATATGAATTCATTGAGTAATTCCCTTATCGAATCATGAACACGTGGTTACTAGGGAAACTCACGAGACAATCAGTCATAAGTCTTAAAGGATCTGAAAGTGAAAACAAAACCGATTCGATAACAGGTCACTCCTCCTTTCTCGTTTCTCTCCAGCACGTTCTTATCGATAAACGCGTCTATGTAATCAGGCTGGATAACAAAGAGATCCTTTTACCGGTTGCTACAAAGCTCAAACAAGCACCGATAAGAATAAGAAACTCAGACAACGATAGCATCCATCCATTTGCAAATCCTCTAGCATCTTCTATGGAACGTGTATACGTGTATGAGTATGTTTCATTTGCTATCAAGTATCTGCGTCGAAGTTTCATACGAGACACGCAAATATTATAAATTTCACGAGATAACGTTTCCTTCGACCAATCAGAAAACAGCATCTCGATTCTTTCAGTTTTTTGTCACGTGTTTCATCAATTTTCAATGTTTTTCGATGATACTGACAGTTTTTGCTCCGTTTCCTCAAATAGAAAAATGGAGGGGTAGGACATTTAAAATCGGAAATTAGGAAACCGGAAAATTAAGAAAATGTATTGGGAAATGAGGAAACGAAGATTGATTAATTGTAAATTAATAAAAACTGTTAGATATAATAAAAATGTTCGAGTTGAGAGCAAAAAACACAATCTGTCGTAATTAGCCAGCAATTATTAAATTTAAGATCAAAACAAATTGCTGCAATCATTTAACTAATTATGTAACAATTATTCATGAAATAAATTATATAAAACTAATCATCTTCCTCTTTTCTGATTACAGTTCAAACGTATGCTGAACAAGGAACTCTCTCACTTCTCGGAATCCTCAAAATCTGGAAATCAGATTTCAGAATATATTTGCAGCACCTTCCTTGGTAAGTTAAAAACAAAAAAATAAAAATACTCAAATTTCTTTTCTCAGAAATAGTTTCTTGGAATTCTTATTGGAATTTTGATCTTTGAACCCCTTCTTTTTTGCACATTGGCAATAAACAATTCAAATATTAATAGTTGAATCAACCATTAAATTTCGACCACACTTGGTAATAAATACAATTAAAAGAAAAAATTCAAAATTGATAGGCGTCAGACAAACAAAATTTTTTTAGCCTCTCATAAGCAGCAAATAAAAATTTCAGCATTAATATGTAAATAATTTATGTCATTCAAAGTTCATAATCAAAGTACGTATGTACTTTTATCACATTATCGTCTATTCTACAGACTCATTGTGACGTATGCATATTAAAAAGAAAACATCGAATTAAGAGTTTGAAAGAATGTAAGGTAAACAAAGACAATTAACCGGCTCGTTCCGAGGCCAGCGTGAGAAATTGATTTACAACTGGCAATAAAAAAAAAGTGCAACTCTTACGCACCAAAAGCCCTTGAGAGATTTTGCAAACCGTATCTCATGACCATTCATTCCGTTTCACGTGCTTTGTCTCGTAGTAATTCTTTGTTTGCTCATTTCATCGTTTCGTCAAGTGCTTTTACTAATTACATTTCACCTGTTCTCGGAACCGCCCACACAATAAGGAACTTCGAGAAAGTACAGAGCATCGCAAAATTTTCTGGCATTCTTTTTATTAGAATAGTCCTTTTATACAATTTTAAGACAAGAACTCGATGACCCTATACGCCCTATTGAAGTTGAATTAAAATTGTGGCTCTCTCCATGGTCCGCCATCCGAGAGTGGACCACCCTACGCCCAATACTGAATGTCTTGTTAGGCCCTTCTCTTTTCCTACGTACTCTACTAACTGAGCATTCAATTGTTAATAATTTTTTAAATATTTTTTTTTACAGATAAGCAGCAAGAGTTGGACTTGCCCTCCCTGCGAATCGAGGATGCAGTCGCGGCTGCAGGCAGCGCAGATGCAAGGGCGGCGAAAAAGAAGGACCGAGTTCAGCGAGGTCCTGCTGCGATGTCCCATATCAGCGGCGTGAAACGGCCACTTACACACACGAATAGCTTCACAGGGGAGCGTGTGCCACTTTACGGCGTTGAAACGCCCCATGAAGAAGAACTTGGCAAGGTAGGTCACTTCGTTCTACCTTTAAACCAAATCCCAACCAGGATAGTGGAACGTGTTAATTGAACATACCAAAACGAAACTGCTTTCGAACATCTTTGTTTGATCTTTTTTTTATTTAAAATTTAAAACTGCACACATCTGTGTCCCTAAAAAATGTTTTTTCAGCCGTTCGATGTAAAACATTTACATTTCCAAATAGCAAACAATGGAAATTTTGAAATGGTAATAAAACACTTGTGATAATAGATATCTCACTGGAATTAAAATTTTCTTAACAAAATTATTTTATACGCGCGTGGTTGATATAAATAACTTATTAAGTGGGATGGAGTCCATTAAATAAATTGATATTAAACTTGAACGATTAAATAACACTTCCACCCGAAATGAATCATCTAAATTGCATAAGTGTTTCTTCGAACGCGAGGTACTGCCGTGAAAGTGAAATTAATTAACGGTACCCATACTTTCTACCAGACCGGAAGACCTCGATTATAGATTCAGTGTCTTCAAACGAGTATCATGTTTATTCAAAACGTTTTTCCTACGATCTTCAATATTTTTTTAACGCAAAATTGATTTCATTGTTAGTATAATATTATATTGCATTTAAATTGCTTTACAAATTAGCATAAAGATACATTTCAAAGCCTCCATCGATCAAACTTTCACAATAGCTATTCGTCATACCCCCGTTTCTCTAACAATGACAACTGAAATCCCCCACAGTTAATCCACTGTTAATCCCACGCTATTGTCTAATTATTAATCACATTCGGCACGTGTAGGGAACACGTGTAATCTCTGATCGACGTTCCAATACGAACTAGGAAACATGCTTCCTTGTTTATGTCCATGTTACACCTGTTCATCATCTCTATTTTTATTTCTAATAAATGCTCCAGCAACAAAGATTGTTTATAAAATCTTTTCTTCATTTGCAGTAGGTAGATGAATAAAATTATTCTCATAGTTGAATTTTATCTTAAAGTAAGAATAAGTTAATTTGCAAGGACACATGGAGTGCTCATGATCTTTTAAAAAAATTGATAATGGGGTTCAGTTCGCCAAGAGCCAAAGGTGTTATTTTTTGGCTACTGCAGGGGTCGAGTATTTATACTTACACCCATGTGGGCCGAGGTCAGCTGATAACCCAATTTCTTCGATTTCTTATCATTATCGTTCCACCTCAACTTACTTTACCTAGCGAAGTGTTTCTCAATTCGTGAAATTAAAATCTGTATTTTTTGCTGAAGAAATGAATAGCGATAACAGCATCGAGCACACGGTAGTTGAGTTTCACAGTCGCCTATAATAGATGCAAATCTCTCTGAAAAAGAGAAAGCTGGTACAACTTTCGCGTAATCAGTGGCTGCTGCTTTGTATGCTAATCAGATAGTTCCCGGATCAAGGAAACTACCTTTTGAGGTCTTAGAACGGTTCTAAAGCCCACACGCTCTGATTCAGTCTACGCAAAATCATTCGTGAATCCTTATTTGGCTTGTGAAACGGAGCATTCTAGTTTGTTTGCTAAGCAGAACTAGGGTAAAAAGTTTCAGCGACCGTGTAACCGTTTGTACTTTACTGATTTTATTTAAACTCGTAACAATTTCACAGTAGACAGATGTTATTTTCACAAGTATTACAATTGTTTAATCATAATACGTTCTACTGTCCTAAAAGAACATTATTTAACACGTTTACATACGACCCCCTCAACAATACTTCATTAAATCTTCATCCCATTTGCATTGATTTGCCAGAAATAGACTTTCGCCACTAAAACACATACGGGTCTTACTGATCCTCAATCAGAAATGCATTCAAAGTCCCACCATAGGGCTTAATTGACCCATGTTACTAAATATAAAATTCCCTCAGTGAACCTGATGATGATGATAGATTTAGGTTGACCTTCTTTCGTATATTTTCAGCTTCTATCAGACATCGACAAGTGGGGCATCGACATCTTCAGGATAGGCGAGCTGAGCAACAACAGGCCGCTGACTTGCGTCGCCTATACAGCCTTCCAAAGCAGAGATCTGCTTAAATCGCTGGCCATACCGCCCAAGACCTTCGTCACCTTTATGATGACCCTCGAGGATCACTACGTCAAGGACAATCCCTTCCATAATAGCCTGCACGCGGCCGACGTGACCCAGTCCACCCACACTCTGCTCAACACGCCCGCACTCGAGGTTAATATTGTATTCATGAATCGTATCTGTTAGGTGTTTCGTTAAACTGCGCGTTAACCTCACGTTTTTCTAGGAAACGTTGCTAATTAGAGCTCTGTAGTCGCGAGATTGATGTTTGATCGCCTATTTAGTACCCATTCCTTTCGAGATTCCCGCTAATTCCTGCTCTCTGGCCTCCAATTGCTTTTTAATTAACGACCAATTTATGTTGATGACGCTAAGTGATTGTTAGACTCAAAGGCTAATGGGACATGTTTCTTTTTGTTGCAGTCGGTATTTACGCCGTTGGAAATCACTGCGGCACTCTTCGCTGCTACCATTCACGACGTAGACCACCCTGGACTCACCAACCAGTTCCTCATCAATTCGAGTAAGTATCTCATTGATACCCGTACAACTTCTTTCCGAGGACATGCCTTTAGAGGGTTCAGTCCAGGTGGTAGCATCCTCAGATTATTCGGTATTCTAATGACCTGTCCTCTGTTCAGGCTCCGAGCTTGCCCTGATGTACAATGACGAGTCCGTTCTGGAGAACCACCACTTGGCCGTGGCTTTTAAACTCCTCCAGAACGAGGGCTGCGACATATTCGTAAATATGACAAAGAAACAGCGTCAGACACTTCGCAAGATGGTCATCGACATGGTCCTCTCCACGGACATGTCCAAACACATGTCCCTCCTCGCTGATCTGAAGACCATGGTGGAGACTAAGAAGGTGGCTGGCTCTGGCGTTCTTCTGTTAGACAACTACACCGATCGTATCCAAGTCCTCGAGAACCTGGTGCACTGCGCTGACCTGTCCAACCCCACGAAACCATTACCACTCTACGAACGATGGGTCGGTCTGCTGATGGAAGAGTTCTTCCTCCAAGGAGACCGCGAACGTGAACAGAACATGGACATCAGCCCGATGTGCGACAGGCATAGTGCCACGATCGAGAAGTCGCAGGTCGGCTTCATTGACTACATCGTCCATCCTCTTTGGGAGACCTGGGCGGATCTAGTGCACCCTGACGCCCAGGATATCCTGGACACGCTCGAGGAGAACCGAGACTGGTACCAATCCAAGATTTCTCCATCACCGCCGTCCGATGACCAGCCGCAACAGCAAGGAAACGAGCCACAATCTGAGAGGATACACTTCCAGGTAGGATTTTGATCCTGTTTATCACTTCTGCTCATCTGTTAGCATCAGTCAGGTATCTAAGCGTCACTTGAGTTTCCGATATAATCTAAAGATCCTGTTGCTGATTCAGGTGACACTGGAGGAAGGCGATGAAACCGGTGAGGCGACAGAAACCGGAGAGTCGGGTGGAGCGGCACAGACAACAACGTTATCCAGCGAGGAAGGGGGCGGTGAGACAGAGGAGAACGCCGCGGAGGCTGGAATGTGACGGAGGCTCGCGGGTATTTGCAGGAAGCTCCACGAGAAGGTGCAGCAGACCTGGTGGCGTGTGCGCCAGTGACATTTAGCTGGCTGCCACCGTCCGGGTCTATTTGTGTCGACCTATTGACCTTTGGCCAAGCTCCACTCCCTGGGACGGTGGAAAAAGCCTCGTCGTAGAACGAGAGGGCAGAGAGCACGGAAACGATGGGAACGTCTAGTCGCTGCTAGTTCAGAGACCTGGACCGACGTGAAGGGTCATTTGCTGACGCGTGAACGAGAGGATCAGCCAAAGTGGCGAACGATTAAGAGCGTATGGCGCTATGAGGACACTCGTTTGACGCGGTCGCTTGCTCCGAAGCTGACGCGGGTCTCAGCAAAGAGCAACGATCATAGATCGCTGCGTCTCGGCTGGTTCGAGGCGCATCGAGGGCGTTCAACCTGAATCCTCGATTCAAGACGGAGACTGGAGTATCGTCGTCGTTATCATCGTCGCTTTTCCCCTTCCCTGACGTCGTTCGATCGGCCTCGACCGTTTTTGGTGTGTCTAGCTCGAAGGAGGACACGAATCTCTTCACCAAGTACCTGTACACAAGCAGACCGGTTAGCCAAGGATCAGTGAAGGCTCCTTGCTACCGATACGATTCGAGGACGCAGGAAATCTCATCCCGCCAAATAATAGGATCCTTTCTGACATATCAATTACATGGTACAAGCGGCTGATGCCGCGACATGCGAACGATTCGGAGGATCTTCTGCGCAACCATCTGACCCCCAGCTACCTCTAATCTTGGGACGAAGGCTTTGAACGATGGCTATGTTCCCTTACGATCAGGAGATGTTATGGATGAAGATTGAAGCGCTGATTGGCGATGAAAGGAGGGGGTCAGAGGCTGAAAGGTGAACAGAAGACTGTAGAGGAACACTAGTTATTGCGCTTTCCACGTTCATCCTTGGTTCTCCGACGATCATCTTCACGGCTACCCAATCGTCTAGGACTAAGTCTATCCTTAAACGTAGGATCTTTGTCATGCTCGCTGATTATAAGCGCGTACAACTCATCGCATGAAGAGGGAAGAAAGGGTTCGTTTAAAAGTGAATTGTATTAGATGTCTTCACAGGATGGACGAGTGAGTTAATTTTAATATAAAGGTTGAAGGCTGGCCTTTTTCCTTGCGTTTATATTAAAATTAATTGTTATGAGCCTTTCTTCTCGCGTTCATACACACATACACATACACCCGTATACACATACACACTCAGACGCACACGAGGCGATCGTTTTTAACCAAAGAGTATTGTTATAGTCACTCGATCATTCGATAAAACGGCAAGATACGAACTTGTTTATTCTTCATCCAAGATTCTGAACAAGAAAATTGAACGAGATGGAAACCACGTTCATCATCATCATCGCGCGTTCTGGCTTCTAGCGATGGTAGATACTTAGGGGATCGAGGGGAATTTTAATTAGCTAGGAACCTTGCAGCTCGATGTGTTGACAAGAAAACATTTAAAACAAAAAAAATGCAAAAAAAAAATAAAATATCGAGACAAAAATGAAAATAAACGAAGTACTCTCTCGCTTGGATGTCTGTGAATCGCTCAAACTCGCGAATCGAGTCTCGACAGTCGCGATATACAGGTCGAGAATCGATTCATCGCACTCTTTCTCGAGTAATTGGCATCCCTGACGATTCTGTGAAAGCCTTTTCTACGGTTCCTTGTTTTTCTCTTTTGACTAAAACGATGGTATAGCGTACGACGACGATTGTTCATTTGACTTTACACGATTGACACAATTTTCTAGCAAAATTAATGACAAAATAAGACTGGAAAAGAGTATTTTAAAGGCGATTAAAAAAGAAAAAAAAAAAAAGAAATACAATTGAAGTCCGCTCGAGGAAGAGGCGAACACGTATCTGTGTCCGTAGGCAGTATGAAAACTAGTGAGTGTTTTTTTGGTGCTGGCCACCAAGCTTAGATATGATTAAGAGTAATTTTACGTAAGGCTAACGAAGTACACGACTAGATATTAAGCTGAGGAATTAACTTAAATGAAAAACGAAACTTCTTTAGGCCGTAAGCGACAACCAAGGTTAATTAATGGTAATTAATCGTTTTAACCGTGAAACAAGAGTATGGACAAACTCGCTCGATTTCTTCAAACTGGATCCTCTTCCTTTTTTTTTTCAAAAATCATACGAGTAGTCAGCTCGAACATGGATTCGATTCTATCAGCTGATCGATCGAAATCAGAACATGAATCTTCAAATTAAATTCGAGCGAGAATGACCGATCGAACGACGAAAGAATGTTTCTTTTTTTTAGTATTTTTTTTTTTTTCTGATTTTTGTATTTAAGAATTTTCATGGTTTTATTCATTTCATCACCGTTCCTTCATCATACCCAGTAGCTTCCTACTTCGTGACTAACGACGCTTTAGAGAATGATGTTTTTACTTGTAAAATGACGATTTCTATGATGATTTCACGTGATGTGTGATTTGTTTGTTATTTAACCGTGATAATGGTGATGACGATGACGTATACCACGAAAATGATCACGACGATTGAACGCTGATGATTGCGAAAGTCAGATGTAAAAGATAAAGAGTTGAAACTGAAAAAATGAAAAAAAAAAACAAATTGAAATACAAACGTGTTTGATTGCTGGACAGTTAAATGAACATGTATTAATATCGTGTAACCCTCGTACGAGATATATGTGTAATAAAACATATTTATTGTCGGAGTTTGTTGTCTAATACTTTGCCTACTTCAACACCCAATTTCCCAACTTTGCCTTAAGTCCTTGCCTTGCGCTTATGTCTTTGGCTGTGCTCTCTGCAAATACATAAGGTCCTGGAGCCCTCCTTCAGTACCAGTGACAGTCGCCGTGGGGTTTTAGTCAATAGGAATCTGACACTCCCCCGCCGCCCTCCCCCAGGGGTCTTATGCAAGATTTCCCCACGTTAAAAAAAAATGTTTACAGCCACTGATTCGAGTAAAAGTAGCTAACTGTGGCACCGTTATCAACCGTTCGACCTAGAGCGAAGTGAAACACCATCATCTCAGTCTTACAGCGATCGTCAAGGGGTGCAGATCTACCTGCTAAACATACATATACCTTTATTTCATTTTCTGCGTTCATTTAATTTGCTGTATTTATCTACTTATCTCACTGAATAAACTCATTATCCTTTACATCTCTGCACCCCTTACATCCCTGTATTATTTACACCTCAATATTCCTTACATCCCAGCATTCCTCTCATCCCTGCTTTCTTTATACCCCTGTATCCTTCATATCCCTATATCGCTTGTATCTCTTCATCCCTTACATCCCTACATTCTTTTCATCCCTACATTCCTTACATCCCTGCATCCCTTATAATAAATATATTATAAAGATTGCTTCGAGTAAAGGTAAGTAAAGGTAAGTTAATTTTCGCGAAATTTTCGAAAATAGCGCCCCCTAGCGGCAAAAATTTGAACTAAAATTTCGATGTCGAATCAGCGCCCTCTGGTGGTGAAAAAAGGAACTAAACCATGTCGGAATTTTGGCCCTCTAGCGGGAAAAATGTGAACTAAAATTTCGACCTCGAATCAGCGCCCTCTGGTGGGAAAAAAAGGAACTAAACCACGTCGGAATTTTGGCCCTCTAGCGGGAAAAATGTGAACTAAAATTTCGACCTCGAATCAGCGCCCTCTGGTGGGGAAAAAAGGAACTAAATCATGTCGGAATTTTGGCCCTCTAGCGGGAAAAATGTGAACTAAAATTTCGACCTCGAATCAGCGCCCTCTGGCGGCAAAAAAAGGGACTAAATTTGTACAAGACTTTACTTACCTTTACTTACCTTTACTTACCTTTACTCGAACCATTTTTTGTAATATATTTATTATAAGGGATGCAGTGATGTAATGGGTGCAGGGATTGAAAGAATTCAAGGACATAAGGAATGGAGAGATATAAAGGATGCGGAGATCTAAGGAATTCAAGGATGTAAAGGATAAAGGGGTGTAAGCGGTACAGGGATGTAAATGATATAGGAATGTAAGAGCTGCAGAGATGTAAGGGATGCTGGGGTTTCAAAGATGTCTACATATAAGGGATATTGGGATTTAAAGGATGTCTACATGTAAGGGGTGCAAGAATATAAGATATATAGGGCTGAGCCCCGTGGGACCTGCGAAGACAAAAAAAATAATAAATAATTGGAAAGTGTGAGCCGAAGCTCATGAAGAGGGTTATCAGTTATCATCAGTAAGAGGAATTACAGTTATCAGTTATCGCAAAATCTGTTTATTATAAAAAATGACTAAAAAGTTTCGGCTCACATCATAACTGAAATAAAATTGCTAATTACAAAAGAACTAATTTGTCACAAACGTTAAAAATAGACTCACAATCAATCACAAACGATTTACAAACGAAATACACTAACAAGGGGAATTACTCATCTGGGGGTGTCTGGGACCTCCTGAATGATGATCCTTCGAAAACAAAGGCATGTCCAGTCTTCTATATCTGTAGTCACTGGATTTAACTCAAACTTAACTGATGCTCCAATCATAAATAAGAAATCATAAAGAAGGATGTGCAAATGAAACCACCACTCCCGTTTAATTATTTGTAAATATATTATTAAGTTAACATCTATAATATAGTAATGAAAAACCATTTACATTAATAAGTATCATCATAATAGTTCATGTGTATGTGTGTATGCATGTGTGTATCTTTCACCCTTTCTCTCGTTCTCACCATAAATTCATCAGCAAAGCACTCATTTCACTATAAAGAAGATTTCAAAGCACGAATTCGAGTTCTGCGTTTCTGAAAATCTACCAATACACCCACAACTAACGTTATGGCGGTTCGTTGGTGAGTGAGATAAAGCTGGTATATTCTTTCTTAATCATTCTCTCTTGTTTTAGTTTGGTAAAAAATGTATCAGGCGTCCTTTACACGTGATTATCCTTAATCTAGCGTGATTAGTGCGGGTATATCGAGATGGCTGCAACAACCATCGATCGAGATCTAGAAATTCTCTCGATATTATATTTTGATCGAACCAAATTTTCAAGAATTTTCTCATTTTCATCCTTTGCAGTGCCTTCATTAATTTCTTTCTTATTTTAAATAATTTTTACAACAAATTTACTATCCCTTTAATTCTTTTTTTCTTGGTAAATTTAATGAGACATGAAAGATGAGCTCGAAAATTCTTTGGAAATTTAATTTTGAGAAGTACATATTTGTAATGGAGGAAAATCAAAAGTGTAATCATAAACAATTTTACTTGTTGTTAGATGGTGGTTTGGTACACTTTTAATCTCCCAAGATCTTGGAATGAGGAGAAACTCATTTCGATCAAGGGTTGCGCGGGTTTAATTTACAAAATCGAAATTACCATGTTAATTACTAAGACTAGAGACGGTAATAGTCGTTGTGTTTCGTTTTACAGGCAGTGACGTGTGGGCGCGACGAGGATGAGGAACGAATTGCTTTATTTTTCGTGCATTTTTTTTTCTTTTTTTAGTGGTGGGAGAATACATGCTGTAATTTTTTATGGGCGATTGATTTCATGAATTGTAAGATTGCAATAATTCCAACAATTCGGAGAATTTTTTCCATCAGAGAAATTTTATACGTTTTTGCAATTTTATTTTATGAACGAATGAATTTTATTGAAGTGGAATATTTTATTCTGAAACAAAATGATTTAATAAAAGAAAAATTGATATTTAATTTAACAAAAAATTGTAATTTAAATTCTGAAAAATTGCAAGGTAATTTTTTAAAAATCATCAAATTACATCGTTTAAATTTTAAATATCATTGCTGATTTATTATTAACATTATTTACCAATGTCAATAAATTTCAAATCAATTTTATTCTTAATTAATATCATATCTATCTTCGTTTGTATTCGGCGAATGGCAGTTCAAATGCTTTCCAACTTCAAACGATCAATATCTCATATCAAACCCACCACCATATCAAATAAAACAGCATGTAGTACACCTTCGTTCGCAAATTGATTTACTCACCACCCACCTTCGTAAATACCTGTCCTTCGAATTTTCATTACGATTATAAACATTATTTTACATCGTCGAAAGAATACAGATACGTTTCTGTCGCTCTTCGTCATTATTTCATCGAACGTGCTTTTCAAAGAACCATTGTTACTTTTTTCAAAATAGTGAAATTTCACAATATTTCACATCTTCAAACACGACAATTTTATAATTTTGCATAGTTCCCATTTTTATAATTCAATTTTACAAAAGAGTTCAGTTGAAAAAGTGTGCTTTTTATTTTGAAATCTGCATTTTTTATCAATATTTATTAGCAAATAAAAGACGACAGGATCAGAAAAGTATGTTTTTCGATGGAACACGAAATACGTATCCAGGTCGACAATAATTTTGCAAGACGTCGACCATCATTTATTAAATTCACAACAATAAAAACATAGTATATATATATTCTCCCATATTTATATTCATATTTATAATATAATTTATATTTAAATATTTTTCTTGCATATCTGTATAACTATTTAACCTTCGATATAAATACCCTGAAATCTACATTCTCGCGTTCTATATAAAACCAAATTCTCATCCTTTTCTTTCTCTCTCTCGCACACATTCTTTCAGATTTTTTACAGGAAAAAATTTGCGACCAAACGCGCGTGGAACCGATTGACCGTGTTTCATGCATTTTTACTTTTTATCGCCTTCGTTTTGTTCTGTTTCCTTCGTTTCATATCTTTCCTTCCATCCTACACGAAAATCGTTAAATCTACTATTTACAGTTAGGTGGAGTTGTCGTCGTCTTTCTTCATTTCGAAAAAAACAGGGGATTGGAACTGTTGTTCTCTGTCTGACAAGTAAAATTAAATAGGACAGTCATATTTTGATTTTTTTTTTATTCAATTGGAACATTGTATGAATTTTTTTAGCTACTATGTGTTTGGGGATGGACAAGAATGATTTTAGACTGATTTGATACCTTTAGCACCTCTCAAAATAAAAAATTTTTCTGTTAAATTAAAAAAATATTAAACTTTTTTGAAGGTTTCTGATTATTTTAAATAAATTTTTTTTTAATTAGTGTGGATGGTATTTAGCCTTTTTTTTAGGAACACTAATCTAGATTGAGTTTGAGATATGGAGTGAGTTAGACTCATAGTGAGTCTGGACTTAATAGCACATCCCCACATCCCCCTTTCAGACATCCAGTTCCCTTTTTCTTTTCTTTCTATCTAATAGTGTACAAGCTTGTAACCAACATCGAATTGTCCTCGTGTATTTATATGTATATATTTATATATTTATATTTCATATTTATAATATGTATACCCAACTATCCAAGTATGTATAGTAAATCGACTAGCTATGCGACCAAGTACTATCTCCTTTCTTCGTTAGTCAGCGTTAGTCCTTAATTAAACTATGTAGTTACACGTGAAAAATATCTGCACTTTCAACAAGAATCTTCTCTTTCCTTCCTCTTTTCTTTCGTGCTTCTTACCAGAGAAATTGGATACAATTTCTCTTTTCTTCATTTTTTGGTTTCGTTTTCACAGTACAGACTGTTCGTTTTAATTGAGTTCTCTCGATATGTCGTGCTTATTTTATGTCAAGTTAATTGAATATTCTTTTGGTGGTCAATTGGGATGAAACTTGGTACTTAGCTTTGGGAATTCATGCGTTCAGAACGTAGAGGTTCTCCTATATAACAGATTCTCGACGCTATTGGGCCAAGCTTAACCTAAATTTAACTCAATCCTAACCCAAAACTAACCAAACTTGTGGATATTTCGATGGAACCGACCGAACCGACGGGACTGCAGCTGAAATGTATTTCAAAGTGGATGACCGAACCGGCTAGACGGAATAAATATATGTTAAAGCAAACAATAGACTAAGAACTTGTGAACTTCTGAAACTTTAATTAAATAAATAATTAGTAACTCACATCTTAAGGATCTGAGATTCATTGAGCCATTGAGCCACATTCTATGAGCCACTTCATCAAATATTAAATTAATTAGCCACTTTCAATAAAAACAATTTAGATACCAATTTTCTATTAATAAAGTATCGCTGAAATCAATGTGTAACATCACAAAGCGATCTTGAAGCGTAGTTCATTCAGAAAGCTACAGAAATAAAAGAGGAAGTAATGAGCTCGTCTGGTGAATTTCAATTCAGGGGTCGACCCGAAAGAAGGGATTCCAAGGATCGTGTCGTTCAGATTAAATCAGGAAATCCTCTTTCCAGTCCTTAAAACAGTGTCACGGAGCATTTAACACCTTACCAACCTGAGGTCATTAACATTCCTCCTATTTTTTGGTTATTAATTGAATACCAATTAATAAGACATTGAACATAATAATTAAAAGTATAAAATTTTAGCATAATTAAACCTGGCCCGTTTTCATGTTTCCATTGATAGTTTATAAAGCCATATTGAACGAATCCTAACCTCCAAATTGATATGGCACAACCACCATTTCAGGTTATCAGAACAATGGGCAAGGTGTTAATGTACAGTCCTTACAAGCTAACGTCGAAGTCCATTTTCTAAGTGAAAAAATGGCACAGTAAGAAAAATAAAAGGAAAGAAGACATGGAAGAAGGGAGAAGTCCGTTTATACGCTCGTTCCAACACGCACAATGATAGTTATAATAATAATAATAATCGTTTTTAGCTGTTGGTACTCATGGCGCAGCACCGCTAACCTCTCTTTCGTTCTTTTTTTCTATTTTCCTTTTTTTACACACACACACGGGCATCAGGTTACACGTACGGAAAAGATTCTCGTGTTTTTCTTCGGCCACGCAATCGTGCCACGGAACTTTAATTAAAACGTGTATAATTACAGTCGAAACAGTATTCCCTGGCTGGCAAGTAAATACACGTTTCGTTCGACCTGGAAAACAGCTCTGCGAATGTGGCGGACGTCGAGCACCCTAAACAAGTACTATAAAGTTTCTCTCTTCTCTTCGCTTTTATCTTCCTTCTTTTCTGGGTTTCATTTACTTTTGCACGTCTTCCATCTTGATTCCCTTTCTCTCCCACTCACTCATTCTCACTCACTGGGATATACAGTCATCGTTCGACGCACACGATATTGGCCCCAGCACCCTTATTTTTGTTTTGTTTTGTTATTTCTTCTTCTTCCTTGCTCTTCTACTGTTTCCTCCTTCGTTCGATGTATCTGATGTGTTTGTGGCGAAGGAAAATTAATTTGGTTTAATTAGAAATATTCATTCATTAGATCACATTCAGGGTATCGACTTATGGAAGATAGTTCAACATTCTAGGTTTCTTTGAAGCAGTTGAGAAGTTACCTTATATCACACTTTCAATACCACTATAATTAATTCTGTGAAATAAATTGAATACAGATAATTCCCCACCACATAAATCATGAAAGCTTTACTGGTACTCTGACAATTGAATGCAATTGAAGAATATATCACACAGAGGCAGGTAACTTGCATCACCAGTACATCTTGATGAGAAAATCAAATACATTTGAAAAGAACACTTTGAAAACCTATCTACATGCTCACAGCGATCCGCCCATCACCAAACACCTAGGTCCCAACACCCAAAGCACCCATGCAGAATGTAATACACACCTGGAGAAGGGTGTGGGTCCTATTTCAATCTTTCCAGTAAAGTTTATCATTTTCTTCTAAACGAATTCCTAGCTTATATACAGCTGATCGTTCAGGTGTCCGCCATATTCGCAGCGTCGATGAAAATCTTCCAAGTAGCTCTTCCCTCCTCTCAGCACAGTTTGCAGCCACGATCACTTATCCACTAAGCTTGATTATTAGGTTACTTTCTCCCTCGATCTCGGCACCCTCCATTAAACCGTTCTGTTTAATATATATATAATTTTTTTTCTTGTATTTATATTTATATATATTTATATATTTTCGTTTTGTTTATTTATATAGAGATTTGTTGTAGTTGTTGGGCTTGTCGTTCTGTGTAGCTGACTACACGGCCGTTTCTGTTTGGCCTGTTTCCTCCACTCAATGGTATCACCTCGCGATATATCTGCCAAAGATGATGCCGAGAACCAGCAGAACGTACACAGACGCGGAGATCCGGAAGGTCCACGATGTGGCCGTTGAGATGTCGCCACATTGCGCTGTAACAGAGAACACGTGTTATTGCAGCTGTTAAAGGATGCCATTGAAATAATTATTTAAGTGCCTCCAGACAAAAATTCTAATTCCACCAATAAAGGAACAATAGTGAACCTTATAATTACACAGAAATTTTAACAGGAGATGCCTTTTACTCTGATATTTGTCAAAAAAAAAATAAAGAACAAAATCAGGAGGCTATGAAGTAACCAGAGCAATATGATGTATGCCTGTTCGAATCCGTTCATCAGGATTCAGTTATGGATTAATTAATTAGTGATGGGAACAGCAGGATCATTGATGGGACACTTAACGTCTAAGTTAATTAGAAATGTCGACTCGATGGTGTCGAGTCGTCAGCAATACTCACCGTACGACGTGAGGTTGACCTGCCACGATACTAGATGACGATGAGAGGGCCTCGGACAGGAAGCAAGATGACCCGTCACTGAGAGTTCACGGCTTCCTGTCGCCGCGGCGGATGCACTGTAAACGAGACAATATCGTCCCACGTCCGTACTAGCGACCAAGTATGCCGTGTCGTTTTCGATCCAAGTTCCGTGACACCAGTATTCTGAAAGTAATTGATCTTCTTAGACAGGCGTTTTTCATCACTTTTAAGTGAAAATTTTAGTTAAGATGATGCATGGAAACTAGACTTCGCGACAAGTCGTTAAAAGAAAGTTAGGAGACGAGCAGCGTATCAAGAGACGAGCTGCGCAAACTTTTCGGTTCAAAGTTATCAGATCATCACAGGAATAATGTCTTTTGCTTAGAACAACAACAATGCACGCGATAAGATACTTGTACGGCATACTAACAAGGCAAATTTCATTTTATTAAGTGGTGGAAGAATAATTTTAACTTTATCCAGTTTTCAAACTATTTCTGCTATCAATTAGTAACGAAATGTTGATTGAAATTATTTTCTGTATTTACAAACTCGAAACAATTATACATCTGAACGTAGAAACACTCATTCAATTTATATTTTAATTGAAATAATCAGAGCACACATTTCAAAATACAAAAACATAGTTACATCGCGTGAATCACCATTCAATTTCATTGATTTTTAAAGGACGCTATCATGGGAATATTCACAGAAGAATAAACGCGAATCTGATTTTAACAGATGGATGGAACATCGGAATATTACATCCCCGGGTAATGTGACCTCATTATCGAGAATCGAATCGAAGTACATGTAAAAGCACAATTTCCGAGTGGTTTATCGGTGTCAACAGAGGTGGAACAAGAGAAAAAAAAGTTCCCATAGCAACGGAGAAACGTTTATCGTTCTAACGAAAGCACTGAATGGGTAATCATCCATGCAACGATTTTAAGCATACGATTTCGTTCACCATAAGAGTCGTTTTACGATCGAGTTACGGGCTAACTCACGGGGAAAGAAGAAAAAAATAAGAAAGAAGAACGTAAAAAAGGGTAACAATTGAACCGAGATATTGTAAAGTGTAAAATTAGTCTAAACAGTGTAAAATACTAATAAATTGTAATACTAGAGTCTATTATAGATTTCCAAGCAATAACTAGCTCCCAACAGCAATCAAAATAGTAATTAACTAGCCAAATAGCAGTATCCCCTATAGAATAGTAATTTGACCCGCAATTAGAATCCTAATAGCAATTATTAGCTGAATTGTAATTATCTAAGCAGTGATCACTATTAAACAGATAGTCCTTATATCTTTCATAGTAATTCGAAGAAAGGTTATTGTGAATGGATTCGGTTTCTGTGAACTTCTGTTGAAAATCGAACAGTTTGAAATAATACCTGAAAAAAAGGAGTCGACACTTTTGAGAGCCGGATTTTTAGAGAGGGAATAGATCGGCTGTGTGTTGGAGCTCGAGAAAGGCGCGAACGAGAACGAAATAAACGAAAGTCGTAAATCGCTCGAACATGTCGATATCTGGCGTGTTGTCTCGACACCGATACCTTATCGAGACTGCAAGATAGAAAGATGAGAATTTACAGCGTCCCCGCGACAGTTCCCTGACTGAAAATGAAAATAAACAACGAAAATTTAGCGACAGAAAGATGGTCTACTCTTCGGTGGAACATAGTTCAAAGCGACGAACAGTCAATCAAAGCAGTCGGTTCTATTTCCTTGATAGATCAGGATAAATTTGCTCGTCGAATAACTATTTCAACATTAGAAATATTTTCCGCACCCAAAATTTATTTAAGATTACATTATTTTAAAAAAGTATTTTGCACTTGCCAATAGAAGTATTAGAAATAAGATATTCAATTGTTAAGTAATATATTGTTAATCAAATGTAGATTTGAAAATCAAATTATTGAAAATATTTTATCAGAACTTCAAACAAACCAAATGGACGTCCATTTATTGATTGCCGATGTTGAGCTTTAAAGCAATACCTGCAGCTTTATTCGGTAAATATTTCATTTTATTGCTCATACCTTAATAAAAAATATTAATTACTTTTATCACAATGTACGAGTACAACGTCCTGGACTGAAATACATATATAAAAAATATTTTTCATAAAGAGACATTTTTAGTACACAAATACACTGTTAATCATCGTTGAAAACTGTATTCTCAATCCATAACAGCTATAAAATTACTTGAAGTTGTTCAATCAATCTAATATACTTATAAAGTCAAACTTAAACACAGTATTCTTTGTGAAAAATTGCATAATTTGTACAGCAAGTGCACTCAGAATATAGAGGAAAGTATACCCTGTATAACGCATTTTGTTCCATGTCGATATCTCAATTAGTTCCGGAGATATAGAGCTTCAAAGTTTGACGACATTCAGCGCTTAGTAGTCCAGTAGTTAAGTACTTAAGTAGCGATAGTAGTGAGCTACTAACCCTTTCACCGCTCACTAGTAGCCGCGCGACTGCTGCTAATGATACGCAAGTTAGAAAGAGACGCGAACAGCCGAAACGTTAAAAGTTATGAATCTCTTCAAACGATGATATCTCGGAAACTAAAAATCGTATCAACACAAATCAAACGGCGTTTTAAAGAGCAAAGTTTCGCGCTTCTACTGATATAGCCATTGAGTGACTAGAGCCACACGTTTCTGTATTATAAAGCAAAGAAAAATGCTATATTTTAATACACTCTGATACCACTTATTCACGATTAGGATGGACATTATAAATAATTTTAATGAATTTCACTAATATGTAAGGAATAAAAACCCTCTAAGAAGATATATGAAATTTAAAATGAAATAAATGAAAAATAAGAACCTAGGAACCTTTTTCCCCAAAGTTCTTAAAAGTACCAATGCTTCCGTATACTTATGTTCCTTGACTTAACAAATAAAAAAAGTCAGTTATCTCGTGATAAGAACTTTTTGATACCTAAACTCGAAGCAATCGTGAAAAATCGCCAGATGAGCAAAAGTAGGAGATGGTAGAGCAGTGACGTTTCGTAATCCACAAAAACACGAGCAGATATCTCAAGAGGAAGGGGTTTAGTATCCGGAATTATTTTAACGGAGAGCAGGTTGACATAACCGTGGATTTAGGCGCTCGGAGCTTCCTGTCTTACGGCTGTCGACAAGGGGATTGCGTTCCAGCCTGCAGTCTCTCCCTTCTGTCTGCGAGTAGAACGCGAATTGGTCATTAAGACTTCGTACAAACAGCGATCTTAGCTCGAGCTCTTAGACCGAGAACATCTCGAGATGTCTCGAGCTAGCTTCCGGCACCGATCGTTAATCACACTCACCTTCCACCGTAGCAGTATTTGTCCGCTTTGGGATTAAAACCGTGCTGGAAGGAAACTATGCTGGACGTTCATTCAGAATCTCTTGATTGGTGATCATTTATTTCATTAATTTTGAATTATAAGATACAGACTCAACATTTCTGAATATTTATAGTATTTTAGCTTTATAATAAGTAACTTGGGTGCTACTATTTAATGGAATCTCATCCTCAATAATGAGGGTGCTAAAGAATTGTAGTAACAAGTATTATTCCTGAGAATATTTTATATTTTGCAGCTATGACTATCTTTACTATGGAGCTCAAGGTTCTAAACTTCACCCACGTACAAATTACCATACTATCATCCTTACTGATTCTTTGGCCTTGATCAATCACCATCACGTATACGTGACACCATCGCCAAGTTTCTCAGCCCGGTATCTAAAACGATTCTCATATCTCGATTCCCGCTCTCCGGCAGCATATTTCAAGCCGGTTTTTCCCCAAAGATCAACTTTTTATCACAAGCCCTAAAAGCAGGCTCGATACGTAGCTATCTTTCAACGCGAACGGATCGGTGCACAGGCACGCGCCATAAACACGTACAGGCGAATAAAGCAACAAACTTTGCACATAAGCAAGCAGGCAGCCAGGGCAACCGTCACGCCGCTGACTCCCCGCAAACTAACTATCGCCACTTGCGATAACTTTACCAGCCAACAGGGAAGGGTGGTGCTGCTGGCGGCTCGAGGTAAATGGGGAAGCGAGAGACGCGTCTCCGTACGGAGGAATAACTTGGCCTGGTGCGGGTAATCCGATAAGATGTTCCTTGTCGGGGGTGAGCCACCCTTCGAGGATTCACTCCGCCCCCGTATGATTCTGCAGCTAGCGCGTGCACTCGATTCCAAAGGGGGTGAAAACGAGATACAGGTAAGACGGATGACAATCGAAGGGCGCTGGGGTCTGGGTCAAAGTCAATTTGACATTTTTCCAATGAGAAAATTTAATAACTCGATTTTCACCCTAAGTGCCCTTGATCTGTACTCTCATTGTCAATTATGATGAAGGTATTTGGAAAATGGATTCCATTGAAGAGCTTGACGACAAATGTCTACTTTTGGAATCAGTGAGTTTGAAGTAGTATTATATACTAGATAAGTCATGTAAGTATAGATTGCTGACATGGATTTCCCTCACGTCATTCCTGCCACGAAGAACAGTTATTCTGTCTAGAGGCCGACGAAATTGAAGAGGGTAGCAACCCTTCAAAGGTAACACAGAGAACGACGACTGTTCACGTCTGAGAAACGTCAGAAGCCACGTCTCGAAGCCATCAACGTTCCTAGCCACTTTCCGTGCCCTCGTCATCCTGTTCGATGCCAGGAATTTTTATGTCTCCCTTTCCCTTGTTTTCCGAAGGGAAATAGGCGGGAAGTAATGAACGATGGAAACGAGGGGATAGCAAGGGTAAAGATTAATCGTTGGAGATATTAATCTCATGGTTCCTATGGGAGGCGAAGCAAAAAGCGAATCGTGAATTATGGAATTATAATGAAGATTCGAATGTGATGTATGATAATGTTTGACCGAGTTCGAAACGCGCGTGTCATGTTCTTTCGTCCGTAGCTGATTAAGGTTAATTGAAAAATGAATCTAAACGAACCTTTGATTTATCTATTAGAGTTTTAAACATCGTCGAACAAGTCCAGGAAAATTGAATCCAAGCCGGTTCGCATCGAATAAGAGCAAACAGGCTCAAAGAGAAAGTAAGTTTCACAGAACAAGGATCAATTTTATCCCCTAATTCCCGGTGGAAGAAGAAATCTTACCCGAGGGTGACTCGTCGCTGCAGGACGTGGCAAACTCCATGCGATCCGGTGTCTTGCAACCGATATCCAGTCGGCGAACACTTCCGTACCGACATCGTCCCGGATACGGTGTCGATGTGACCCTGACGTCTTGCACTTCGGCAGCGTTTGCCATGTTCGGTTCACCCTCCACGCCCAGTATCTCTTCGGGGTTCTCACCGGCATGCGAATGAAGCACGGAGACAATCTCGTAGCGACCCAGGTTGGGACACTGCTTTGTCATCGGATCTGTTGCTGAAAAGATGGGCCAAGTGTTCTACTTTTGCTATATTGGTTAGATTCTTTTAATCTGGGATCGATTTTAGAATAAATCTTTTTCGTAGGATCTTAAGTGAGCGCCACCTATGTGACACACAAAATTATTGACTCTTTTTATATATTTTAATAGTTTTCGATAGAGGCCATATTAAATTCTATCCGTGTCCCAAAGAAAAGTTCAACCAATTAGTATAGTGTTATTAACTTAATATGCAAAACTTAATATTATTATTTAGCAAAACTAATTTACTTTGTTCTGAGAAGGTAAAATGATACGGAGGTGATTTTTCTGCTGGAATTTCCAAGAAACTAAATAATTGAATGGAACAATCGAAAGGAACATAAATGTTAAGGTCGACGAATAGTTTCCAGGAGCTCAAGACGCCGGAATCGCAATCTCAATGCTGTCGCGATAAATTCCAAGCGCTGTCTTCGTCGCAGTGTTATGGAATCGAGTAATCGGCTTAAACGGAAACTGCGAGCAGACCTGAGAGGGTTGAGTTTACGACGGATTCGGCATATGATCCTTAACGCAATCGTAAAGGAGCTGCTTTCGCGAATCGATTGTTAAAGTTTCCCGTTTGCTGCTTCCCCTTCGTGTTCTATCTGTTTCCGTTTCGTCGATACTTACGTCTTTGTGTTTCTAGAAAATTGACTCTCAACTTCGTGCAAACAATTCAACCAACTAATTGCAGTTTAAATAAATGAATCCAGCTAATTAACAATATATGTATATTTTCTTTTTTCATTCATATTCAAGAGATGAATAAAAAATGTTCAAATGCAGTTTACAATACGCATGGAATTCATTCGCGTACCGTATGCGCGTCCAATTCATTATCAACAAATTAATCAACGGGGCCGATAATTAATTCGCCGATTTTTCGTCCCGTCGCGAATATTTCGCCCGGTCGGATAAAAATCACGCGTTATCGCTGAAATATCGCGTCTAATTAATTTCACCGTGGCCGATATTAAATAACGAGTCGTACTTTATGCGGGAATTTTTCCGCGCGAAACGATCGCGATCGTTTCATGGAAATTTTACAACCAGAGAAGACATTTATCGTGGCCAGCGAACGAAACGTTGCCCATTGTTAAGACGTTATTTATCGTTACACGTGTAAAAAAGAGAATCGCGAATTTTCGCGAAATAATTTCATCCCTTTTGGCAAAATCCTCCATCAACCCCCTATTGGGAATTCACTATCTTCCCACGATATATATGTATATTCCCTCGCATTCAAACTCGTATTCTTTGTTTTCTCTTTTTTCGCAACATTCGACAGTGAAATATCGCTTTTAATTTTACTGACTGCCGTTTTATTTTCGAGTTCACTGACCATCGGCAACGCGTTTTTAAACCGCTCTTTTTTCCCTTTGTTTAGCGAACTGTTACTAGTTCGATCTATCGATTAGGAAAGTTTATTGGTTGTTAGACGTGAATTGCCCTGAAATATTTATTCCTGGGAAAAATGAAGCAGATTGTTAGCTATGCGTGAGTTAAAATTAAAATTAAATATTAATCAAACCTACTAAATTATTGCTTTTTAATTTTCAATAGAAATAAATTTACGCTACTTTTCTATTAAACGGTCTGCCCTCTTCATCTTTGAAAAATGTCACAAGATAGTAAAGAAACTAAGGGTCTCTATGACTGCAGGTGAAGTTTCAGTCCAAACTTATACGTCGGAATAGGAGAGTACTTCGCACGAGCAAGTGTTAATAAATGATCGTAATTGACTTACCAATGAACGTCGTGTACGGCGTCGAGTGGGAGTTGAACGTACTGGAGTTGCACACGTCGTCAGGTTGTTGGCTCCATTCCGACAGCTGCATCTCTATTACATGGTCGTCCCTTCGGTGGAACATCAGGCACACGTAGCCATTGGTGCTGCAAACGGAAACAGAATTTCCGGATAGAAATTGCTGGTAAACATTCCGCAGGAGATGAATAAAAATTTTAGGAAAAATAACGAAACTCGTGGTTGCAATATCCGCTAAACTTTTAAAAATTATTTTGTTTTTCTATTCCACTGAAAAACAGATTTCTAATAAGCTGATATATTGGTAATTAAAAATAGATTCCCGGGTAACGTACAGGGCGCCTCAAAATAAGTGTACGTTGTAAAAATTATAAAATTTGATAGAGGGATATTGAAGAACACTGATGATGCTATAAAATAAAAGTAAACAGCTTTCTTATCGTCATTTTAACAGAATTAAAATTTAAAACATGTCTGGCCTTGAAATTAGATGAGGGCAGACGATGCGTATACTTTTATGAAAACTGGACGTATCTAATAATCGAGCCAGTACGCCATAAAAGCTGGCAGTAGCCAACTAAACCGGGGGAAAGAAACAAATAAAAGAGGGGAAGGATGGGGTTGGAATACAAGGATGGAAGACATTAAATCTTCGGTCGCTTCCGTGGTCGGACCAGGATTAAGATTTTATTTTATCAGGACGTTTCTTAACGGGCGTGCGTTAACCTTAACGTAATCCTTTTACGACTTGCCCCCCTCCCCCACTCTTTTACGATGAATCCGAGGACTCTGTTATAGCTAGTCCATAACATTCCTTGAATTGCACACATGAAACAACGCGTGTTTGTTTCTGGCTTCATTCTGTTTTCTCTTTGTACACTTGGTCAGATTATGGTCCATCATCATAAATGATTAACAATCTCTTAAACAACCGAATCTTTATTTAGAAAATTCTACAAAAAGCATCTTGACAGCGATACATCCCTTTACTTCATTGTTGCATTCCTTATTCTCTGCTCTGACAAGGGGAACTACCCAAGTGATACACTCACTTATTAATGAAACTTTTGATGAAAACCCCGTTTTGTGGGTAGACGACTAATTGTTTAAAAGATATTAATAATCAAAGTTAGTTACTACTTACATTCAGAAGTATGACAGACTCCCACCTACAACTAGCAATCTAGAGATCCACGGTTCAAATTCTTGGTTCCCAACATTTTTTTTTTGTAATCATAATTTGTCTCTTTTTCAATAACTCTTACGTAAAAATTATTATTAAAAAAAAAAAAAAAAAAAAAAAAACAGTACCCAGGGGATTTGAACCAAGGACCTTTAGATTACGAGTCAGGTGTTTAACCACGGAGCAGATTCGCGACTTACAAGTTAAAGGTCCTAGGTTCAAATCCTTGGTTCACAAAATAATTTTTATGTAATAGTTATTCAAAAAGAGACAAATTATCATTAAAAAAAAAAAAAAAATGTTGGGAATCAAGGATTTGAACCGTGGATCTCTAGACTGCGAGTTGTATGTGTGAGTCTGTCATACTTCTCAATGTAAGTAGTAACTAACTTTGATTATTAATATCTTTTAAACAATTAGTCGTCTACCCACAAAACGGGGTATAGGCGTGTTCAGCTCGACGAACTCTACAAGCTGGCAAAGTTTCATTAATAAGTGAGTGTAACACTTGGGTAATTCTCCTTGTGAGTCAGACATAACCCAACCTTAACTAAAATTTCATACCTAACCTCAACTATCCATGATTCAGCGCCATCTATCCAACATTCGTGGAAGTAATTTTTTACTGTAACTAATTAGCCTCTTTGCAGAAGTCTAGCCACCATAAAATACACATTTTCTTTGCAGCCCATCATTTTCAAAACATCGAGGTTCTTTTATTCACAGCTTCATCAAACGCGTTCAACCTGATACAGACAGAGAGCGAACGGATACTTTCGCGGGTAACTGTATTTTCCTTACGATCCTTCGCGCCATGAAAACGAACATAAAGTGCCGCGTATTGCTTTCCAGGGGGTCGTGAAAATCCATGGGCCCGCGATCGAGAACGAGTCGGGATTTTCGGGTTTATAACACGGCTATTCTTACGGACGCGTTCCCGCGGATTATTGTTATGGCGACAGATCAGCTTCCGGTCGGGTGAATGTTTTCTTGCGCGCGATGAACTTTTCCCACCAAGAATTGATTTTTTATTTTCACTCGGCTGTCCCTTTTGGACGGCTAAGATTTGCGACTTTTCGGTGGAAAGTCTCCGTGGCACGGATACAAATGTCCACGATTTCCGGTTTCGTCAGGATTTTATGACGGTCAAGAAATTTTGCGCTGGCTTGGAAACCTGGAGTTTTTAAATTTCGAGGAATATGAATTTTTGAATGGGAATAGGGGAGGATTTTCTGGTTTACTATCGCTGGAGAGTTTTTCGAAAAAGAAGTACCTAATTTGCTATTGAAGAAATAATTTGTTATAATGAATTTAGTTAAGTGATAATTTAAATTAGTAAAATGTAGTCCAAATCATTTATGGATAATGTTAAGTTCTATAACAATTTCTATAGCAGTATTTATTTTTATTTTGCAGAAATGGTTGCATTTATTGACAAGATAATTTGAAGCCATTTAAGCGTTAAAAGGAGGCACGAAGTGGGCCACGATGAACAGAGAAAAGGCAATTTAATTAATTGAGTTGCCGCAACCATTTACATTCCGACTTTCTGGAGTGTATCCAACGAAGTCTCGAACGGTGTTAGCGTTCCCCGGGGTGCAATGGCGGCTTCTTACGGACTTGTGTACATTTTCAACCCTCTCTTTACGAGGAAGCGCAAATGTAACCCGGTATAATCCCATTCTAGACACTTTCCACCGACTCTGCTGCGCTTTTCGCCTTCGGGGACCTTCGATACGGTTCAATTTTATAAAAAGAGTGGAAGTTATTGGCAGACCTTTTCGCTCGAATGATCCTTCTTTCGATTTTCGAATTTCTCTTTCTCCTTGAAAATTTTATGTCCAAAGAAATACACGAACCAATATACTTGTGAAATTTGATATAGAAATTCTGCTATTACCTTTTGCATATTTTTGTAATAAATGTAATAAAAGTATTTTATTTTTATTTCAGTTGAATTTTTAACCAATTTTTTGGAAGCATGTTTTTGAATTATAACAATATTGTTAATTATTTTTTAGGCTGGAGTAAATTTTCTGTCCGATGACTTATACGTTCAATTTTAAACTTAAAGAAGGTTAGAACAATGAAATTATCTTTAACAAGGGAATTTTAAATGGATCAATTAATAATGCGTAACTTCAATTAATAAACTCGGCTGTTTCAACTACCTCCGGTTAACAACGAATTTCCTTGCTACACGAAATTGGAAGTCATAAACTTCTCTCCCAACTTCCTTTGCTATTTCAGTTAGTAATTGACTTTATGGCAAGATAAAAAATTAAACGAAACGGTAGCACAGCCTCGAAATATTTGTCTGGTGAAAACAATGAAAATTCCAATCGAAATTAATCATTAAAATTCCATTTCCTACCCCTCATCATTTATGGCAATAAAAATGGTAAATTGACCATTTTGTTGAAATTTAAAAACATCACAAATTATTTGCATTAAATCTTTTTTCGATTCTCGTGAATGAGGCCAAAAAAAATAGTTGAAATTTAACAATAAATGTCAAGTAAAAATGAAATAAAACTCTTCAAGTCACATATTGTCCTCGTTTCCTAACCTTAAAGAGGTTACCAGATGCAGAGAATCGGCCGCGACTCTTTCTTCGAAGCATCTCGAGTTTCCAATCTAATTTATGTCCGGTCGTTAGACGATTCAATGAAAGGAGCGCACTTATGCGGCCAATTTGACGTGCACCCTCTCCATCCAAGGGTCTACCGTCCCCTTCCATCCCCCATCCTGTCGTATTTCCTCCAGCTGTTCCTCTTCTCGATCCACCGAGTTCTTTTTCTTTTTTTTTCACCTGCTACCTCCATGTTCTTTTTCTTTTACATTTCTCTATGGTTTCCAGATCCCATATCCCTTTTATTTATCGATATGTGTATTACTTTTTCGATCTTGTACCCGTGTGTCCTGGAATTGAATTTTCTTCCTCTTTCATTGTTTCGAGGAACATTTTGTTTTTACTACTTACGACTACTAACTCAATTTATTCAATCGCTTGCTTAAGTTCACCTTGCTGTAGAGGGAGCTGCTTTGACGTTCTTTCAAATTTTTTTAGGTTATGTTAGGTTAAACAGAGCGCTAGCAAAAACTAAAATTACAATTGCATTTTATTAACGATAAGAATAATTATTCTGTTTTAAGTATGATCGAACAATTTTGTAAGGAAGTGTACATAATCTCAAACCACCTCCATATTGCCACAACTCAGCCATTCCAAGGAACAGCGCCCCGCAATGACAAATAAAAGGCTCGTTCGTCGCCATCAGCGACACACCACCCACGCAAGCAAGACGTTTGTCTCACGTCGCGGCTTGATCGTTCCAAGACCCGATTCCCACTTATCTCGACCCCGTTTCATCGACTCGACTCATTTCATTCAATGTTCCCGCATCACGAGCGGCGATCACCGGCCTGCGGCTGCGGTTGTGGCCGCAACATCCGCCGGATATCGACACGAATCGTGCTGTCTGATGCACTCTCATCACGGAGACGGTGAACCGTAACAAGAAGGAAGGGAACCTTTGGGCTGAGAGATGGAAAGGGATGATGAAATAGTGTGCGTGGTTGTACATGCTCCTAATATTTGGAATATATGAATTAAAATAAAATGCATCCAGTTCATTTTCAATCTATACTTGATAATTTGATGATAATTAGCTATTTTGTGAAACGTGACCTCTGGCGACAGAACGTCGGAAACTCGGTAGCTCCATAGAAGAGCAACTAATTGGAAGTAGCAAAATAAATCTTCGTGTAAAAACTCTCGGCACGAGAATAATGATAACAAACAGCGAGAGAGCGAAAGAAGATTAGAGGGAGTGGAGGCGAGCTAGGGGTGTAAATATGTCTCGGAGAGATTTATGAAAAATAATATTAGCTCCGCGATCAGTTTGTACCTCTCTACTTTTTGTACATTCGATTAAAAGTATC